ATCAAATAAATAGAAAATATGAAAGATAAAGCATAATATAAATAATAATAAAAATATTTCAAAATATATTAATTGTCTTTTAAAAAATTTTAATAAAAATTATACATACAATTTTCTTTCCTAAATTATTATTTTTTTTTTTTTTATAAAAAATTTTATAAAAAATTTCATGGTTTGATGGTTATAATTGTGCGTATTTCGTTAAATTTTTTTTCTCTGTGCTTCTCATACAAAACAAACAAAGGCTAATTCTCTTTCAATATATGATCTGCATTCTTAATAGAAAATTTCCAAGTTGTTATATGTATAAACTATAGTTATTATGTGCAATATTAATTATTTTTTTTAAATAAACTAGGAGAAATATATATAATAATTAATTATTAAAGAAATTTCAATCATTTTAATAATCATTATTAAATTAAAAAAATTATTAATTTAATCATATATAAAATCACATAATATATAACATTACAAATCATATAAATAATTAAATTTCCTGAAAATAAAAATTAAATTAAAAAATCATATAGCATTTAGCATAATTCAATTACTACTTATTATATATCATATAATATAATCCTTATATAAAATATATAAAATATATAATATAGTCCTTGTTATATATTATATAATATAGTCCTCAATATAGTCCGTAATAATTATTATATAATATTGCTTATCTTTAAATAGAAGTAAAATAAATGATTTTAAATAAAATAATAATATTTATATAAACATGATTAAATAATTTAATCATGTTGATATAATTTATAAGTTAAAAATGAAGTTTTAATACTACCTTATTAACTCAATTAATTGTATTGCAGATAATAATAATGACAAATATGAATAACTGTACCTTGTTAAGGTACACTCAGCAACTCGATGAAACTCTTGATATATTGTGCATGTGGTCCTGTATAACATGTATATATATTTCGTAGCACTTTTTCTTATTATTTTTTTTATAACATTAATTAGAATAATGAAAAAAGAAAATATAATAAATATAATAAATTATTTACATGATTATGTTAATCTTATACCTTCAAAATAATCTTTATAAAAGATATTTTTTAATTAATTAAAATATCGAACAATTTGATTTCAAAAACTTTATTTTTTAAATGAGAAATTAATCTTTGAACTGTTAAAATTTAAAATCACGTACAAAATGAGGCTACCTACTTGACACTTTGAATTTAGGATAAAAAAAAAAAGAAAAAGGAGGACAGTACTAACAGTACGGTGTTCGCCGACTGACAAAACTGTGCTTATGCTCGGATAGTCCGATCGACCCTACAGAACATGTTTCGACCGCACTCGGCAATTTTCGTCTCCCTTCCTTTCACCTTTTATGCGCACGTGTCTTTATCTTCAGCTTTATCGTTTACTTGTTATTGTCTAAAATTATAAATTTGTAATAAAAAAGACATAAATTAAAACATTATTTTTCACAATAATCAAAATAAATAAAATGTTCGAATTTTGTATCTATTTATTTTTTACATATATGATTATGAATGTGATTGAATAATTTATATTATGCATATATATTTTTATTTCTTTTATATTTACTTGATACATGTATATCTTTTATGTATACATATTTTATTGCTTTAGTGAATAGATGAGAGTTAAACTTTTTAAGTAAGCATACATAAGTAAGATAAGATTAGTAAACTAATATTTATTTTATATCATATATTCATAGTTAATTCAAAACGATCTTCCTTCAATGCAATAATGATCATTGATTAAATTTATAAAAAAAATTAATATAAATCTACAATAAAAATATTATTTATAAGAATTATACTTATACATATATATTTTTCAATTTGACTTACGAATATTTCAAAACAAATATTAAAAAAAAATGATTTAATTTTTGTAATTTAAAATTTAATTATATATGAAACATATTATGTATTAATCATTTAATAAATAATAAATTATAATTTATCAATTCACAAATGATACAATCAAAATTCAAATTTTAATAATTTTCGCAATTTATTACAAATATTAAGAAACCAAAAAATACAATTATATTTTGTTTTTCAAATTATATGATAAATATATAAAATATATATACAATCCCTTTAACTTTTTATATTAATAAAATATAATGTAAATTTTTGTATTAAATGAAATCATGAAATAATGTAGAATAATGTGAATTATTTAAACGTTTTATTTATTTAAAAAATATAAATAAAAATTTTAATGAATCTATATTTTAATTATATATATTATATTTCAATCCTAAATTAAAAACAATATAAACATCTTGAGTTTTGTAAAAAATATATATATAAATTATAATATTATTTTATATATATAAAAATATCAATATATGCAAAAAATATAATCATATAAATTCACTTATATGAAAAACAAATAAAATTTTAATTGAAAATTTTATAAATGATTTTAAATAAAAATTATTTTTTTCAGAATTATATTAAATATAACAGATGTTATGAATATGACAGCTTTTTTAAAGAAAAATGTCTTCTTTGTTAGAATTAAACTTCGTCATCTTATTCAAATTTAGCATATTGCATAATCATAATTATGATCGATTAATAATTTTACAATATTTAATATACAAGTATGCTGATATAATCGAACAGAAGTGATTCTACATAAAAAAAAATGGAAAACAGAAAATAAAATTTATTTATTTTAATAATAGCAAATTTAATAAAGCAAATTTAAAACATTTTCATTATTAAATTTAAATAAATAATTAACTATTATATATAATTATATTCCAATTACGAATGAAATAATGATAGATAATCATTTACAATATACATACAAAGTAACAAAAAAAATAGAAAATTTTAACATTTGAGTTCTTGTTTTTAAGAAAATCCATTAAATTATATGATCATAAAGTCAAGATCATAATCAATGAATTTTCAAATATAATTTTTTCAAAAAATTTATTTTTAAATGAAAATTACTAATTTTTAAATGATAAAAAATTGATTCTATATTTTTTGTATATTTTCACATGTATAGAAATAAAATTATCGATAGTGATTCATTGAATATGGAGTAATAAAGTTATCGATATTCATATCTAATCGAAAAATAGCTAATTAGTTGTATTTAAAAATTTTTTAAATTTTTTATTTATTTTATTTAAATATAAAATATTCTATATTTTCGATTTATTTTTTTACATAAACTCTGTCCGTTTATATTTTATATTATCATCCTATATTTATATTATATATTTATATTTATATTACTTTATATTTATATAATTTATTTTTAATTAAATGCATAAAATTTATTCTTGTTGAAAAAAAACAAAACTTAGAGATTTAATATCATGTTGTAAATTACAATTGTTTGTCTATATTTTATAAATTTGAAAACATTTATTCATATCTCAATCATATTTTAATAAATTAAGATTTTTTAACTAATTAAAAAAATAAATTGAAATTTAAAATTAAAAAATCAAATATTTTAGTAACAATATTTCTTTTTTTATGATTTATCATATGACATTACAATATTTATTATTAATATCTAAAGAGAAATTAAAAAAAATAATTAAATTATGATATAATTTATATATATAATTTAAATCAATATTTTAAATCAAAAAAATATTCATAATTATGTAATTAAAAAGTACAATCTATTCATTTATTTATTATTTATATTATTATTATTAAGCTATTATTTAATTATTTATATTTATAAAATTTATATTATACAATTTCTATATACATTATATACAGACTAAGAATGCTATAAAGAAAATATTATTAAAAATATTTATGATCAATAAATTATATATAATATAATTATGAGATTTCATATAAATAATATTATAATATATATTATAACATGTTATTAGTGAATACTAATAAATATTTCACAAACAATAATTGTTAATTTCATTGTTATGTTTATTTTTTCTAAATACAGTTTTAATTTTATAATGTATTACGTAAACATATTTATAAAATATTATATAAATTATTGTAACTTTACATTATTTAAAAGATCACATGATATTCAAATGTAAAATTATTATAAGATTGTATTTTTATTTTTGCATTTCCATATAAATTTTAATATATAAATTTCTGTCATAAATTTTTGTAAAATGATATTATTGTAAAATAATATATAATTTAATTATAATTTAACATTTAAAACAATTAACATTTAAAATGTTATAATATTAGTGTTCTAATTTAATATAATATTTCATTTAAGACTATAAATATATTATTACATAACTATCATACAAAAAATAAATTTCTGAAAGATCATAATCATTATCATTATTATAATATAACAAAATTATCAATAAACAATAAGATTATTTTTTAAAATTAAATAACTAAATAAGCATAACCTAAAAAAAGCAAAAGTATTGAATGATCAACATACCGTAAAACTTGTCCGAAAATAAAACATATTTCACATAAATATTAACTACATGATAATTGATATGCTCACTATATCATTTTTTAATTATAATTTTATATTAATTAACATTTTATTATATTATTAACATTTTATACATTAATTTTACCTAAAATATACAGCACTTTGATGTATAAATTCTAACGACATCTACAGAATTTTTTTATAATTTAAAATAATTTTTATAATATTTTTATAATTTTTTTTTTTTTACATTCTAGGCAAAAAAAATATTAATTTAAAAATTTTTAAATTTAATATATATACAAAATGTTAAAATATTTAGTTAAAATTTTATGCATTTTCTGATGATATACAGCATTTTCTATATAAGTATATAAATTATTAAAGCTATATCAATTCGTTTATATAAATTTTTACAAGTTATTTATGATATATATATATCAAGTTATTTATGATATATATATATCATAATATATCATAATATATATATATCATAATATATATATAATATATAATATTGATATTTATCTTTCTAAAAATAAAAAATTTATTATTTAATGAATTTTTAATGAACTAAATTTAATCAACTATTTAATAATTAAATATAATTTAATGAAATTTTAATAAACTAAACATTATTGCAACTTTAATTTGTTTTTTGACCATCAGTAGAATATCTAGCATGATTCATCATAGATTCTACTCTATTAGCAGTTTCTCTTACAACATCAGAAATTTCATCTGGTAAATGATCTAAAGTAGGAATATGTGCAGAAAGTCTTTTATATACAGAATCTCTATTACTATCTTTCTTGTGTCTACGTTGTTCTTCATACTTTAATTGTTGTTTAAGAAATATAGCATTTTTTATGAATTCTAAAGTATTTTCAAAACTTTTTTCAGCACCATACATTGTTTTAATAGCACTTACAGCATATTCTACATCATAACATCTACCTAAGAGTTGCTGTTGAAGAGCAAGTACTTCAACTCTCTTCTCCACCATTGGAGGCAATGCTTTTCTTACATGTTCTTGTAATCTATAAAATGCAAGAGATGGTTCATTTGCAACTATATGCATATTTTCAGATATACGTTCAGTCGCTAAAAAAATAAATATAGTTCAATATTAATCAAAATGTAATAATAAAAATATTAATAATAAATATAATATAGAATTCTAACCTTTTTTAACTTTTGTCTCCAATTCTTGATCTGGTTGATACACTTTTGCAGTCATATTTATAATTATCATAAAATATTAAATTAATATTAAATTTTATTATTACAAATCCATAAAGAAATCTATAAATATTATATAAAATCTTAAAATTAAATTTAATTAATTAACAAAAAATTAGTTTTGTTATTTTATAATATACTTTGAATATTCAACACAATTTCTATATTTTTAATTATATATATGATATACAATATTATACATAAATTATTGAAATATTTTTCCTCTATGAAAAAATTTTATATATACTAAACGAACGTTAATTTGTTTTCACCGCCATTTTATTAAACATCCGTTACCGGAAATTAATTGCCAGCAAATTTCTGTTTTTCTTTGACGAAACGTGGCATGAAAGTATGTGCTGTTGGCACTTCTCTCAAATGTATATTGTTCTTCTTATGAAATAATTATTTCGTTGTCGTAAGTGACACGAAATCAGTCGTGAAAAAAGGTAAAAGATATTCATAAATAATTAAAATGTTACATTTATGTAATATTTTCTTTAATATATAAAAAAATTATAATTTTTATGTTGTATTTTAATTTTAACAATAAATGATTATAATATTTAAATTCTTCAAATAATATAGATTAGCAGCATTTTATAAATAAACTAAACTATGCAATTTTAAAGTTTTTATAAATTATATTAATAAATTTTATAAAAATTGAATTTATTATATATTATATATTTATTATATACTTATATATAAAGTTTTAATTATATTATCATAATAAATTAAAAATGGTACATAATTTTATTTTTATAAATAATATAATTTTTAGCATGAAGTGGTACATAATATTTGCAGCATTTGCTGCTTTTGTTTTTACTACATATGCAGAAGAAGAAGAAGAAACTGCAAGATTATTAATATCTAAACAATTACTTAATAAATATCTTGTAGAAAATATGGATATTGTAATCAAAGTAAGTATTAAAATATATAAATTTATATATTAATATTAATTTATGCATAATTTTTTTATTTTAATAAAAAATTTATTACTTGTAGTATACAGTTTATAATATTGGAAGTGCAGCTGCTTTAGAAGTTGAAATCACAGATAATTCTTTTCATCCTGATCATTTTACTCATGTTAGTGGAGAATTAAATGCAAGAATTGATCGTGTTCCACCTTATACAAATGTTAGTCATACAGTTGTTGTGAGGCCACGTAAATTTGGATATTTTAATTTCACATCAGCAGAAGTTTTATATAGACGTAAAGAAGATGCTCCTAGTTTACAATTTGCTGCAAGTAGTGAACCTGGTGAAGCAGTAATTGTATCATTTAGAGATTATGATAAACAATTTTCTTCACATGTGGTAAATTATTATTGATTATAAAATTATATTGTGTATAATGATAAAAATATAAAATATTTATATTTTTTAGGTTGACTGGGCTGCATTTGCAGTAATGACATTACCATCATTAGCTATTCCTTTTGCATTATGGTATTCTAGTAAGAGCAAATATGAAAAATTGCTTAAAACTACAAAGAAACATTAATCATATATTTATTTTAAATCATTCAAAAAACTTTTTTCATATTGTTGTAAAAAATTTAACTATCCTATTTTCTGTATACATTTACTTTTATAATAAATATTATTTATAAATAACATATTTATATTTTTTATTTTTATATTTAATCTAAGATATGTAAAATAGAAAGATTAAAAATTGTTTCATTTATTTATATAGTTTATATAATCTTATATTTAATAAATATTATCTATTTTTATCCTGTACAAATAATTAAACATAATTGTGACATCAATATATGTAACAAATGTAGAAAAAATCGTTTAATCACTAAAAAAGATAAGTTATGTTTAAAAATTATAAAGAAATATATATATATATATTACTAATATACATATAAATTATATATGTATTATATATGTATTATATTTTAATTGTATGAATAAAATATGACATTAATATATAAATTATTATGACTAGGAATCACATATTTTACATTTCTAAAATAATCAGCCTATATTTAAAGTATAACTGCATAACTGCAACTTATTGTATATATTCTACTGTATATAAAATTATATAAATTATATATTACAGAATGTACATTTTCTTATATCTCATTAATATGCAAAGTATCTTAGTCATGAAAACAACATAAAGAATAATTAATTTTCTAACAAAAATGAATTTATGATAATAAGGCACCAGTTTGATAATTGAATATTTGTTTAGAAATTTATGTTAATATCCATAATTTTATAAATACTTTAATACTTAATAAATTTTATAAATATACTTTTAACTTAAAATTATATTATATTTTATGAAGTATTCAATGACCTATTTCGTTTAGTTGGTGAATAAGAACCACGAGGATCACCATAAACAGGATCAAATGCAGAAAATGGTCTTATTGGACTAACTGGACTTCGTGGAATTGATATGTTTGTAGTGTGTAAAGTAGGTGAACATGGAGTACTTGTTTTTTTTAATTGTGGTGGACATTTATCAACTATAAAAAAATTAATTTTAATTAAATAACTATTTATAGATGTAAAAAAAATTATATTATTAAAATAATATACATACCAAAAACTGCTTTATTCTTTATATTTAAATCAATATTCGCTATTTTATTTTTCCATACTGCAAAATAAGATGGAAAACATTTAAAAAATATAATAAATTAAAATTATAAAATAATTTTAATCTAAAAAAGACTTACTATAGAAAAAAGTAATTACAACAACAGCAAATGTTCCAAATGTGTAACGATGAAAATACATATAATCAACCCAATGAATTCCAGAGAATGGGATGAAATTTTCATATTTTGTTACACGTACAAAAAGCTTACATGTAAAAAAAAAATTATCAATTATATATATGTATGAATTATAAAGTTTGATATAATTGATGATTATAAAGTTATTTATCTTTTATATATATTTGCTTACAGATATATTTTGTTTTGTAATGTCATTTGCAATAACAACTTTTTGACCTTGAATTTCTTCATGATTATGCATTAAACGAAGTTTATATTGCACTGTAGATTTTGAAATGTATTGCCGAACACTTACAGTCATTCCATCTGGTACATCAATCTATAGAAGATTAATATAAATAAATATGTTTTCAAATTTCATAAACTTCTTTCAATTTATTATAAAATAATTTCAATTTTTATAAAAAGTTAAACTTACAGTAAGATGATCTAATACAGATTGCAATCCATATATCTCAAGTGTTGCAGTTGGAATAATTTGAGAATGAGTATAAATAAAAACAATTTCTTTGGCATCAACATAAACAGGAGGAAGATATGTTACTTCTAAAGGTACAGCTTCAATATCTTTACTTTGTGCACTTATTTGAATACGATTTTCTAGTGTACTAGAAATTATATTTGGAGAACCCATTGGAATTATATCACAATAATAAAAACCTAATGAACAGTTTGAAAATAATTAATATACTATATTATCTGTTGCATCATAAAATCAAATTATAAATATACCAGTTGTAATATCAAATCGCGGTTTGATAAGAAAAAGATCTTTCACTCCGATAGACGAAGTCGATGAAACAAATTGTATATTACATGTGTAGGGAAATGAATTTAAAATAAATAAATTGAACGTTCTACAACCACCTAATCCTCTAGATAGTACATTATTTTCTTTTACTTGTTCATCTTTACTTTTAAGTACAAGAGGAACGCTAAATGTCTCAGTTCCGGTAATATTTCGGCCTCTTAATGGAACAATTGATATCTGCATTTATAATATAATGTAAATAATAATTTAAAAAAACATTAATATAAGTTTTAATAATTTCCATACAATACCTTTGCAATAGATTGAATATGAACTTCTATTTCACCTTGCATATGAGTTGCAAGACTATGTTTTACTACTGCATAACCAACATTTTTTGCTCGACCTATTCCTGTAATAGGATCTACTGTTAATATTTCAGAAGCAGAAGATTGCCAGTAACCTGGATCACCATCAGGAGATAGAAGTGGCATTGAAAAGCATACTATATCACCCACTGTTAATGTAGTCTATAATGTATCATAAATTTAAATTATAAATAAATATTTAATATATAATTAAAAAATTATAATATTAAATAATAATATTTAATATAGTTAAAATAATTATTTAAATTACCTTTGTAGGAAAAACTATATCACCAATCATCATATGTACATAATCAAACATTGCATTAGGATATTTTTCATTATATGTTTTTACAATAAGGTCTCCATTTTCAATAAATTTTACAGTAACTACATTTTCAGAATTTTTAATAAATGATGCAAGATCAGCTCGATTTAATATAGTTTCAGCATTAACCTCAGCAGCATGAAATTTTGTTCCAACATTATCATAATATTCAAGAACATAATCTAATTCCATACCTTTGGGTAACATATTTAATTCTTCTCCATTTCGAATTCGTAGAATTGATTTCAGAGATAACATCATATAATGAATAGGTTTAATCTATAAATAAATTAAAATATAAATTTTTAAAATTTTTCTAATTAGATTTACATTTTAATATAATACAAATCTTACTTCAATAATAATAGTTATTGACTGTTTTAAATTATATGTTTCTGTGTTTGTGATAGAAATAACTATTTTTCCAAAATTTTCACCAGCCTTTATGATGCCATTTTTATCAATAGAAATAGTTTTAGATGCTGGTGTTGAAGCATGTGAATCCATTGAATCATTTCCATGTAAAGTTGATAATACTTTATAAGTTGTTGAACCATATTTGTCACGATTTGTTTGTAATTTTAAAATAGAGTTTGGAGACATTAATATCACTGGTGCATTAAATGGTAATCCTAAATGCGTTAAACGCAATTCTTCAAAAATTTCAATTTTTACAAATGTAGTGAATGTTACATCATTTTTAAAACCAGCTAACATATTGGATGGCATTGTAACATTTAAATAAATAGTTGCTAATCCAGGACTTATTGCTTTGGCTCTTAAACATACTTCATTTTGATATCTAATATTAATACCAGTACCTTCATACATATTATGTAATGTAATTAGATTAGAATCACTAGATGACCACGTAAAAATTAATAATAATTGCATAGAACCTATAATAAGAGGAGTTAAATGTTCTGGAATACCAAAAGCCCAAAGTGGAAATGTTGCACCCACTTTTACTCTACTTGTTGGCACAATGATTTTCACTCCTTCAAGATATAATACATGTATATCTGCATAATCCTCAGAATGAATAACTTTATTGCCTTTAGCATTAAGACCAATAGCTCTAACAATAATTTTTGTTTGGCCAACTGATTTTCCTTCAAATATACCATTATGATCAATATGTAAAATATCATTATTTTGTGTAGAGAATTCAATTTCTGCATTTGATGGACCTCCTATTGTTTGTACTTGGTAAATGGTTCCTACTAAAATTGTTAAATTTTTTGGAGAAACTTTCAAAGGAAGAAAGACTTGAATAGTTGCTGATTCACTCTGTACTTCTTTTTCACCTCCTTTACTGATAAAAGTTAATTGAGATTCTCCTTCTGCCATTCCATATATCATATATAATAATTGATCATAAGGAGAATTACCATGTTCACTAGCAGGTAATTGTTTAACTTCTATACATTCATTATCAATTTCTGCTTTAAATTCCAAAGCATTTAAAGATGGTAATTTTATAACATGGCCATTTGTGTCATAAAGTTTCAATGCAGCTACTATGCATTTTCCTTTTTCAATTTTATTCACTGTTTCTATTTCTATTACTGCAAGTTGTTGTATTTCAATTATAGCTTCAGCTGGTTTAGAAGGTAAACAAAGATCTACTAAAGATAAATAAAGTATTCCAGATTTTTTTGGAGTAAGACTAATTGCTTTTGTTGATTCTATATATCTAATATCTGCAATATCATCTACATTTAATACAAATTCATAATATCCAGAACCTTGGCTTACTTGTAAATAATATTTTGCAGTAGGATCATTTAATACCATTAATTTATCAGGAATAATACTAGTATCATTAACTAAAACTACTTCTATAGAAGTTTCTATAAGAGGAGTTTCATATATTTTTCTTTCACTTTCAATTGCAAAAGGTGGCCATTCAGGTATTATTTTTAATTTATTTAATATATATTTTTGATAACCTGTAATTGTTGCAGTTAATGTAAGAGCACCAGTATGTTTCTTAAAAATGATATTTTGATAATAATTTTTTGGTAAAATAACATTCATATCCATAATTGTTTCTTCTATAGAACCAGAAGGCATTTCTACAAAACCTATAGTTGAGGGTTTTAAATTCCATTCAATGTGTAAACTTGTAATATTATCGAAAATTCTACCTTCTTCATCCTTTACTACTGTAATAAGTTTTAAATTTTTATCGCTATGCGCCATTATTCTTTCTGTATTAAGACTAATAGGACAATTTTTACTATCTTTAAATTCAGGTTGAAAATAAATATGTCTGGGTTTGCCACAGATAATCTTCACTGTTTCGAATGCATATGTATTTTTACAATTTGGCAATAAAGGAATATTTGAAATTATATATGTTACATCTACTT